GAAATGGTTCTGACTGAAACTGTTCAAGAGAAGGCAGCCTCTCCCCCACAAGAGCAGAACCAGGAAGCAACTGAAGAAGAAGAATTTCAGCGACTGATCCAATCTCAAGTGCTCGAGATCCTCACAACTCCTTGTGAGATCTCCAATCAGACACAACTTGAGATTCTGGAAAAGTCAGCAGAAATTCCGGAACAGTCAGCTATTCCAGAAATTATGGAGAAAGAAGTAGAAGTCCAAAGGCACTCTGGAAAAGCTGAGAAGGAATCTCAGATGGCAGAAGAGGAGGTCTCTCAAACTCCAATAGCCATTCTTGAAGAACCAAATGAAGCTGAAGATAGTGACTCACTCTCAAGATACATATCAAATTTTGCACTTGATGAAGCAGAAGGAGAATCTGAGAGGACACTAAAGATCACTGATGAAGAAGATGTGCAAGAAGATGCTGAATCTCTTCCTTTGCAACTCTTTCAAAGGATATCATCTCCTCATCAGGTAACTAATTTTCACTTCCATAGCTCTTCCATTCCTACTCTTCCGGATGAGATACCGGAAACCTGGACAAAGAAGGTCCAAGGGCTGATTGAGTCAGCCCTAGCATCTCAACATGCCTCCTTTAGGCAAGAGATAGAGTTAATGGAAGCCAAACACACTGAGCTGATAGAGAAATCTGAAGAGAAACACAGCGCCGATCTCAAGGAGATAAGTAAATCAATAGAAAAGACTCTAGAGATCATTTCTCTATTGAGTAAAACTGTAATTCAATGAATTCAACAAAGTCAAGGAGCAAATAGCAAATGTCACAATTGGTCTGCAAAAACAGATGTCCCTTCTCCAAATGGACATCAGATCAGCCCTAGCTATAGCTTCAGCAAATCAGGTAGTAACCAAAGACTACTTGAAGGTGATCATTGACAATCAAAAGGAAGCATATAAGCTGTTCAGACTTATTGGTGCACATTCTGGGAACCGCAAGATGGAAGTAATTCTCCAACAACACAGTCCATCTCCAATACCACAGCTCCCTATTGCAGTCAACGAAGGAGAAGCATCTTATGTCCCTTCTCATCTGCACATGACTAATCTAATCCTTGAAGCACAACAAAGAAATCCGGAAAACTCAGCACAGCACCTATCCAGCTCAGGACTGGATGGAACAGAATTTATAGGTGCAGTTGCTGACCACTTCTCAGATGCTGCTCAAACAGAGGAAAGGCGTGAAAACTTAAGGCGCATCAAAGAACTATGGGGAACATGCAGGGCATCAGTCAAGTTGCCGGATCTTCAAAATGCAAAAGGAACTGAAGGTTCTTTTCATCAAACCAGGGGGAAAGTATGTGAAAACATTTGTTTTGATGAAAACACCTTCTTGTTTAAACATTGCTTGATTGGTTTAAACATTGCTTAAGTATGCCTTAATTGCGCTTATTATGCTTGATTATGCTTATCTCAAGTATGATTTTGTCTTAATTATTTTTCTGAAGCGCATACATTCAGGGGGAATGTAATTCAGG